TAATAACAAATCTGAAAGTGCTAATAATCACAATTTTTAGACTGTCTCTAAACTTTAGCTTAGCTGTTGGTATTCTAACTATGAGATCCTCATTTAATGATCACTGAGTGGATGTGTTTTTGGAGTATTTGAAACCATTACATCAGTCTTAGTATTCTCATTATAACTGAAACCAGAAGACAGAAATAAGTTACAGCAAACTGAAAGATGGTACCAGGTTAACCTTGGAGAAGCCAATAAAGGAATTAACAGTATTACATTTATCATATATTCAAAGTCAACATTTTGTGGAATATTTGGTTCTCACGTATTATAGCACTCATGATAAGTATTGGCAAAGTTATGTACTCATAATAAGTATTGGCAAAATTATCAATATGAAAATAATAGCAAATTATGGAACAACATTTGTCACAGAGGATGAAGAGGTAGAGGAATTAACTCTACAAAGAACTAAAAAAAGATCCTTCAAATTAAATTAACACATTCTTCAGTGCTTGGTGACTTTAATGCAAAAGTGGGAGTAGGCAAGGAAAAACATGTTGGAAAATAGGATTCAGGAGGAAGGAATGAGAGAAACCAAAGATTTAGCCTACATAGAAACTTTATTTGCCAATGCATCATGAATACTTTGAGAAATAAATTAAGCACCAAGTAGCATCACAAAGATGAAAGTGATTATATATTAACAGAAAGGAAATGACTCATTACTAATGTGGGAATCATTCCTGAATCATTCCTGAATTCTATATATAGTCCCACATAAACAACTTAGAGCAAAGATCACCATTAGTACAAACCTAGAAGAAAAAAATAAAATGGTAAAGAAACATGGCACACAATTAAAACAACCCCAGCCTGACCTATTTAAACAAATTACTGATGCTGAAAATGGGAAATGGGTAGAGAAATGATATCAAGACTGATTATGATCATTTCAAAGAGAAGATTGTCAATATTATTCAATTCCATAACAAGACTCTATGGTAAATTTATGGAAGGACATGGACGAGAGTTGTGAAGTAGGCCTGGATGAGTTGTGATATGTATCATTGGAGAGAATTTCCACATTGTTGAGTTCAGATTCATTACGTATTTGATTACCGAATTTTTAAAAAATCTTCTTTTAGTTTTACCAATTCAGTTATTTTCTTGTTATTCATTTTACTAATTTATTTTTTTTAATTCTCCCTTTTCTCCTTTTCTTTCGAGGATCATAGTTTTCATGTTCTAATTTCAGTTTACAATTTCTGTTGCATTTCTTTTTCTTTTTATCTAGATGCTGGTATTATATACTTGCCTCTTTGTCAATTGTCAATATTTTTGAACATTGCTTTGAATTTATCAAACAAATTTTGACATGGTATTTTCTTTGGGCTAATCTCTTATGGTTTCTATAATTTTTCCAAACCAGGCATAATTCAATAAATAATTTTATTATGATAAAAGCAAACTTTTTACAATATAAGCCTATATCTCTTGATAACATTATCATTCTTTATTTCTAGTTTTATTGAATTATTGCCTCAAGTATAAAAATTAGAATTTTTGCTTTTCTTAAACTTACTTAGGAATTCTGTATGACCTGGGGCATGATCAATTTTTTTGTGAATATTTTATATGTACTTGAGAAAAAGAAAATATCCTGATTTCCCCCCAAAGTTATTGCTATATAGCTATTAAATCTAGTTTCTTCAATAGTTTTCAAGTCTGTCTGAGAAGCAGCATGGTAGTAGATAGGGCACTGAACTTGAAGGAGAACTGCATTTAAATCCAATCTCCAAAACTTACTAGCTATGTGATCCTGGGTAAGTCACTTAAACTGTGTATTCTTCAGTGTCTTCATCTGAAAAATGGATGGAATGGATGAACTCAATGGCCACTAAGGTCCCTTCAAGATCTAAATCTATAATTCTCTGAACTTTTTCCCTTATCTTTCTGATTTAATAATATCTTGATTATAGGATATTGAAATATATTGTTAATTTTCTATTTCTTCTTAACAATTGTTTTTCTTTATAAATCTAACTTCTATATAATTGACTATACATATGTGTATACATATATATGTATGTAAAGTCAACATGCTCTTGTTATGAATTGTGAATTTAATCATGATATCTCTTAATGTTTTCTCATTCAACTTGGTCAAATATTATCACTACAACCCCAGATTTTCCTGAACTGGTTATAGCATGATAACTATTAGTTAAAACTTTTGATTTAAATTTAAATGCATATGTTTGCATTAATTGTGTTTGCTTTTGAAAACATATTGTTGGATTCTTTTCTTTAATCTAATCTGTAATCATTTTTTTCTTTATAAGAGAATTAGATCCATTTACACCCAATGTTGTAATAATTAAATTTGGCTTATTCTCTATGTTTCTTTGTTAAACTAATGTTCATTTTGTTAGGAATTAAAAGTTTCTTGTATTACTTCTATTCTTTAACTGAATGTAATTAAAGAACACTAAATAGAATCCTTCTTATTTATATTAGTAATAACAAATGTCACTAAAATTTGAACATCTCCCTTCCTGTCAAAGTTCTTGATTTCTTCCTGTAAGCACTCTATGAATATTTTTAAAGCAAATTATGGAAAGTCAGGGTCTTTTGTAACCTCTTACAGGACATTCTCTGAAAAGGGAGCTTTCTACCAGATTTCCATGAGATCTGACCTTCAAATGCTTAATCCAATGCACTTAGAGGAGTCAAGATGTCTCTAATGAATATTTCCAGACAAGCACTTTTCTTTTTGAAAATACTAAATGACGTTCAAGGGAGATCAGCACATTTTGCTATTGATTATAAAGTGAAATGACCTCCTTCTTCTACTTTTTAATGAAAGAGAAACAATATAGTAGAATGGAAGGAGCCTAGTCTTGGAGTTAGAAGTACCTGGGTATGAGTTCTCATTCCCCTGCTTATAAGTTATGTTACTTGGAGTAAATCAGTTATCTTTTCTGAGACATAAATCATGGATAAAAATGGGAACAACAATCTCTACCTCAAAGAGTTTTTGTAAGGATCAAAAGAGATACTGTATACAAAAGTGCTTTATACCTGCAAAGAAGGTGAAGAGGATGTGTAAAGAAGTGTTTATTACTTTAGGAGCTATGAATAAGTTTCTCAATTAAACTTAATGAAATTATAGGGTTGGCCACATTGATAAAGGTCCTTAGAAAGCAAAATTGCCAATTCTGGACTTAGTCCAGACTTGAAGAGCTTTGCCAACCAAGAATAGAGATGTCTATTGAAGAAGAATGTGGCTCTTGAGAGATTATCACTAATTGCTTCTTCCCTTGTGCATCTCTTCCTGACTGCAGCAGGGGTGGGGAGACCAGATTTTTTCTCTCTTCCTTGCCAATTCATCTGGCAGGCAGAGTAACTCTTGGGCAGGTAGAGTGACCAAAAGGCAGGTCTAGAGTTTTCAGGTACAAAATTAAGTTGAGCTGTAGAGAAGAGCAGGGCCAGGACGTCTGGTGGAGCAACATGCCCAGCAGAGATGCTGTACTTAGAGGGTGCAAGATGAAGACACCACTAAAAGAAAAAAGACATCGGGGCCTTGGAGTGCCAGGGGTATGAGTTGTCTTGATCACACATGTTCCCTATTTGTGTGCCTCTCTACTTGTTAACTCTGTGTATGGACTCACTCTTTTCACTGATGTTGTATGTATTTGTAGCAGAGAGAGCCTGAGGTTTGGAGGGAAGAGATGTTTTTACTACTTATACCCCGTCATTTCATTATATGTCCTTACTTTGAGCTAATCATCTGGCTGACTGTTGAAGGTGAATGCATTGGTGTGAGCTCATAAGTTGTGCTTCTAGGAGTATGAATTCCCTAGGTACCTTGAACCTGGGGTGGTTATTTCCCATGGGCCGAACTTGTGAATGCAAGTTGGGGAGAGAGAGACTTAGAGGGGATGCTATATGACTGTAAGGTGCTATATAAATATATAAGATGAGCAGTACTTGTTGTTCAGTCATGTCCAACTCTTTGTGACCCCATATACCATGGCACACCAATGCTGTCCATGAGGATTTCTTGGTAAAGATACTGGAGTGAATTGCCATTTCCTTCTCTAGTGGATTAAAGCAGAGATTAAGTGACTTGACCATGTCACACAGCTAGTAAATGTCTGAGGCCAAATTTGAACTCAGGTCTTTCTGACTCCAGGCCCAGTGCTCTATCTACTGAGTCACTTAGCTACCTCTAAAATGCAAATATATGTATAAAAATTATTGTTATTGTTGTTGCCCATCCTCCATTTTTAAAAGATGGCCAGTAACATCATAGGTGATGTCTTGACTTGCATATGAATTGGATTTAAGTGAGGCAGAGCTGCACAAAGTCATCAGCCTCATTCTCTCTTCGAGAGTCACTGAAGACCAGTGGCAAGACAAAATAACCTTGTCTTCGATGCCTGACTAAGCTCTAAGTACTTCATAGCACCTGCTTCAACTGACTTCATGGCTGTTAGTACTACTAGCCACTTAATATACCTCCTGGGCCTTGGATCACACATATTTTGTGATTATGGCATCCATACAAATATGTTGGGAAGATGTTTTTTTAAAAAATGCTATCAATAAAGTTTGGACCTGAAGAGAAAAGGAGAAAGTATATTATTGCCTTCATTTCCTTTCAGAAGTAGAGGGTTATGGGATTGGAACAGTATTTATACTATCAGACTCAGGTGATGTATTGGTTAATTTTTCTAAACTGCTTTTAAAATTCTTTCTTTTTTATTCTTTAATACAAGGGATATCTGTCTGGGAAGAGGAGGAGGAAATGAAAAACAGGAAAAAGAAGGGAGTAAAAACATTTGAATGATCTGAAATGGGCATATAGGATGCTTTCAATCATAAAATTTCCTATTAGAAATGTGTCCCCTAAGAGTGCCTGTCATGAATCAAATAGGCCTAACAGAGACATGTTTGAAGGTGATATATGAGACTCAAAGTAGTCAAGTTTATTTATTCTCTCTCTCACCTACCTGAATGAGTGTTGTCATGGAGGATCCCAGAAAAATATCTTGATCTGGGATCCCAAAGAGATACGCGCTTGTGTATGTCAGACCACTGCCCATCAAGGTCATAATGTTCAGATTGGGACTGGACATCTTCACAATCCTATAAGAGTCAAGAAGAGATAAATTTATCATCAGGCCTCTTCTACACTGGGAATATAAGCTTGTACAGTTATTTTCTCCACACCACCGCCTAAGCATGAGAGTACTTAGAAGGAAAGAACCCTTATTGAAAAATCACCATATCTCTGTTTTATAGCCTTGTTATTTTCTGTCTACATGCTTTTCAATGATAAGGTTGTTCTAGTCCAATCTCTTCACTTTACAGGTAGCGAAACTGAGACTCAGAGAAGTTAAATGACTTTTCCAAGGTCACAGAGGTAGCAAGTAGCAGAAGCAAGATTCAAATTCAGGTCATCGGACTCCAAACCAGGTGCTCTTTTTTATGTATCCTGCTGCTCATTCACTACAGAAATGCCCTTGTGGAAGTAGCAGGAGCCTTCATATTCAAATGGCTATGTTGTCTAGGTTACTGTCATATAGATATCCTTTCTAGCTCTCATTTAGATCCATTTGATCTGAATGCTGCTTTATGCTCGGGTTTATTTGTAAGCAAGGCAGACTTGACTGAGTACAGATCCAGATTTGGAATTGCTTTCCCTCCTGATTTGGTTAAGAAAATTCAATGTGATTGTTATTTTCTACCATGCTTATTATCTGACAAAATCCTGATGTATCTCCTCAGTTCACTGAGTGACGTAGTTTTCATTTTTAGAAGGTACACATTATACATTTTAAAGCAGGGAATTTATCTGATACCCCCCCCCCCCCACCATCCCAATCACTGTACAGGTGCATTAGAAAGCTGAACTCTGATTTGAGTATTGCATTTACCAAAACAAATGACGTAGATTTTCTTGTGAAGCCATAGGGAGATGAATTATCTCTGGTCCAACAAGTTAATAGTAGGGATTGGCAGAATCCTTTTACCACACCCTTTTAGGTGGACAGCAATTCTCTAGACAAAAGGCATTTAAATGACTTTATGTAACTGGAGCTTAGAGATGCTAAATATTTTTCTATAACAACATGCATTGTGGTATAAGGCACATATAAATATACAAAAATATTTACCAATTTGAGATTTAAATGTGACTAAAATTTCTGGTAAAGGCAGACTATAGAAGAGGTGATTGGCATGCAATGGATTATATCATCAGAGGATAACAGCATCCTTGCATCACAAAAGGTAGGTTTGAAAGAATCACTGTGACCTAATTTGATTCCAGGCTCTGCCACATTCCAGTGTGTAACCTGGGGCAAGTCACGACCTCTGAGCCTCAGTTTCCTCATCTACAAAACAAAGGTAACAACTTGCATGACCTACTCCACAAGGTTGTTGTTGGAAAAGTGCTTTGTAGACTGTAAGGAACCATATCAACCAACAAACATTTATTAAGCACATAATATGTATCAGGCACTGTGCTAAGGACTGTAGGTACAAAGACAAAAAGGAAGAAGTCCTTACTCAGAGAGGTTATATTTCATTGCCTTATGAATATGAATTGCTATTATTATTATTTTATTATTATTATCATCATCATCATCATTATTTAATAACCTAGGTATAAGTAAACCAAAGTCTGGACTAGGGTTATGGCAATGGAAAGGGAGAGAGAATAAGGGGTCAAATGAGATGAGAAATTTAAATATTGTCCTCTGCAGCTACTAATCTTCACTTTCCTCTTACTATTTATTTAGAGAATTCAAAAGAAAGGCAAGAGCTTTCCTGACTTTTTAGTTCTCAAATGATTTCTCAGTTTAGTAGGAATTAACTCAAAAGCAAAAAAAAAAAAAGTATTCTTCCTATATTCAAATCAGCTAATACTCTTTTTTGTTTAGTATTTTATTTTTCCCCAGTTATATGTAAAATCAATTTTTAACATTTGTTTTTTGAAACTTTGAGCTCCAAATTCTCTCCCTTCCTGCCTCCCCAGCCCTCCTCATTCAGAAGGCAAGCAATTCGATATAGGTTATACATGTGTAGTCATGCAAAACATTTCCATATTAGTCATGTTGTAAAAGAAAACACAGCACAAAAAAACCTCAAGAAAAATAAATAAGGTGAAAAAGTATGCTTCAATCTGTTTTCAAACACCATCAGTTCTTTCTCTGAGGATGGATAGCATTTTTCATCATAAGTCCTTCAGAGTTGTCTTAGATCATTGTATTGCTGCGAATAGCTAAATCATTCATAGCTAATCATCATACAATATTGCTGTTACTTTAAGCACAGTACATTTCGTTGTAAGTCCAGGTTTTTCTGAGAGCATCCTGCTCATCATTTTTATAGCACAACAGTATTCCATCATAATCACATACCACACTTTGTTCAGCCATTCCCCAGTTGATGAGCAACCCCTCAATCTCCAATTCTTTGCCCCCAGAAAAGAGCTGCTATAAATATTTTTGTACATATAAGTCCTTTTCCTTTTTGTTTTTTATCTCTTTAGGGATACAGATCTAGTAGGGGTGTTGCTAGGTCAAAGGATATGCATGGTTTTATAGCTCTTTGGGCACAGTTTCAAATTGCTCTACAGAATTGTTGAATCAATTCACAACTCCACCAATAATGCATTAATATCTCATTTTTCCCACATCCCCTCCAATATTTGTCATTTTCCTTTTCTGTGCTATCAGCCAATCTAATAGGCATGAGATAGTATCTCCAAATTGTTTTAATTTGCATTTCTCCAATCAATAGTGAGTTAGAGCATTTTTTTCTGGCTATAAATAGCTTTGATTCTTTCATCTGAAAACTGTTTATATCTTTTGGTCACTTACCAATTGGGGAATGACTCCTATTTTTATAAATTTGACTCAGTTCTCTGTATGTTTGAGAACTGAGGCCTTTATCAGAGAAACTTGCTTCAAAATTTTTTCCCCAGTTACTATCCCTAACTATATTTCCCTTCATCTTATTTCCCCCCATTTATTCTATTCTTTCTCCTTTCACATTGTTTCTCCTTAAAAATGTCTTGCTTCTAACTACCCCCTCCCCAATCTTCTCTCCCTTCTATCACCCCCCCTTTTCTTATCCCCTTTCCCTCCTACTTTCTTGTAGGGTAAGATAGATTTCTATACCCAATTTCATGTGTATGTTATTCCCTCTTTGAGCCAATTCTGATGAAAGTAAGGTTCACTTGCTCCCCATCATTTCCCCCTCTTCCCCTCCACCATAAAAGCATTTTCTGGCCTCTTGTATGTGAGATAGTTGACTCCATTCTATCTCTCCCTTTCCCTTTCTCCCAGTACATTCCTCTTATTTTTAGATATCATCCCTTCATATGCAACTCAAACCTGTGCCCTCTGTCTAAATATACTCTTTCTATCTGCCCTAATAATAAAAAAAGTTCCTATGGATTACAAGTATCATCTTCCCATGGAGGAATGTAAACAGTTTAACCTTATTAAGTCCCTTATGATTTCCCTAACTTTATTAAGTCCCTTATGATTTCCCTTTCCTGTTTACCTTTTTTGCTTCTCTTGAGTCTTGTATTCTATTCAGCTCTGGTCTTTTTATCAAGAATGCTTGAAAAGTCCTTTATTTCATTGAATGTCCATTTTCCCTCTGAAGGATTATATTCAGTTTTGCTGGGTAGGGGATTCTTGGTTGCAATCCTAGCTCCTTTACCCTCCAGAATATCATATTCCAAGCACTTCATCTCTTTAATGTAGAAGCTGCCAAATCTTGTGTTATCCTGACTGTGGCTCCATGGTACTTGAATTGTTTATTTCTGGCTGCTTGCAGTATTTTCCCCTTGACCTGGGAGCTCTGGAATTTGGCTACAATATTCTTGGGAATTTTTATTTTGGGATCTCTTTCAGGAGGTGATCAGTGGATTCTTTCAATTTCTATTTTACCCTCTGGTTCTAGAATATCAGGGCAGTTTTCCTTGATAATGTCTTGAAAGGTGATGGCTAAGTTCTTTTTTTTTTTAATCATGGCTTTCAGGTAGTCCAATAATTTTTAAATTATCTCTCATGGATGTATTTTCAAGGTCAGTTGTTTTTCCAATGAGATATTTCACATTGTCTTTTATTTTTCTTTCTTTCTTTTTTGTTTCATTTTATTGTTTCTTAATGTCTCATAAAGTCATTAGCTTCCATTTGCTCATTTCTAAAGTTTAAGGAATTATTTTCTTCAGTGAATCTTTGTACCTTCTTTTCCATTTGACCAATTCTACTTTTTAAGGAGTTTTTTTCTTCAGTGAATTTTTGTGCCTCTTTTTCCATTTGGCTAATTCTGCTTTTTAAGGCATTTTTCTCTTCATTGGTTTTTTGGACCTCTTTTATCATTTGGTCTAGTGTGTTTTTTAAGGTGTTATTTTCTTCACTATCTTTTTGTGTCTCCTTTACCAAACTGTTGACTCATTTTTCATGATTTTCTTGCATTTCTTGCATTCTCTCATTTCTCTTCCCAATTTTTCCTCTACCTCCCTTACTTGATTTTCAAAATCCTTTTTGAGCTCTTCCTTGAGCCTTCCATGGAGGCTTTGGATGTAGGAGCTTTGAGTTTGTTGGCTTCTTCTGAATGTGTGCTTTGATCTTCCTTGTCACTGTAGTAATTTTTTATAAGATTCTTTTTCTGTTATTTGCTCATTTCCCCAGCTTGTTTCTTGACTTTTGACTTTTTATTAAAGTAGGGCTCTGCTTCCAGGATGGAGGGCACACTGTCCCAAGCTTCAAGGATTGTTTTCAGAGCTACTTCCAGGGACCTGTAAGTTTTTAGTTTTTCCAAAGTGCTATGATCTAAGGAGAGGTGTGTTTACTACTCTCCTGAACTGTGCTCTGGTATGTGAATGACTCCAAGCACTCTTTTCCATCCTGAAATTGTGATGAGGGTTCCTGCTCCACTGGGTTCACAAACTCTGCTACGCTAATTCTCCTCCTTGCCTTCGGACTACAGCCCAGATCTGAGTATGAGCAAAGCAACAGAGTCCTTGCCTCAGTGCTAGCAAAGAGACCCCTGTAATCTCTTCTGACCAGTTGTTCAACCCCCCTTACCATCTCTGGGCTAAGAGCTCCATAAGCAGTAGCTGC